AATGTGCTCTTCCGACCTCCACAGTTTTTCCCTTTATGCGTTCTTCCTCATTAGTGTCCATAATATAAGCCATATACCAGCTCTCTCGGTTTTTTTCCTTTGCCTCCTTCTCATACTTCTGAATAGTTCGTTCATCAACCTGGCCACTGAGGAGAAGTAACTGCCCTCCAGTTGTTGACTTACCTGCATCAACATGCCCGATGAAAACAACATTCAAATGCCGCTTTTTCTCTTCTTCTTTTTCCCCAAGATCTTCAATTTCCTCATGTCCAAGCAACTTCATCTCTTTTTTCTCCAATTGCAACTCCTGGAGGTTTGATTCTATCTCCTCATGGTAGCGCTGAGCGAGTACAAGAGGCGGTGAATCCATGACGACGATCGGAGCGGCAGGTAACGTAGCCTCCTTTACAGAATCGTTGTCCTCTTTGCTCCAATCGTTCACATCCTCGTCGTTCAGGAGGGCGGGTGATTGGACGGCTATCTTGGCTCTTCGGACCACCTCCATCGTTCACGATGATTACTAGTGAGCTTCTAGGGATACTTGGCACTGCTCGTTTGCAAAATTTTTGTACTAAAAAATTACTTCAGAAAATAATTAAAAAATTTATTGATTGAAGAAGATTGGATTATGCCGAGGACTTAGAATCGAAAAGTGTTTGCTTGATTTTGAAGAGAATGATTGCAATGTACATTTATAGGTGAGGAGGAAAGAGGACATCTTGATCTGTCTTTCCACCTGTTTCGGTCCCATAATCTCCATTTAGGGGGCGGGTAAAGTAGTTTGTTGGAGGATTTATGGGTTCTATTGGTTCCCTATATATTATTTTTTTTTTGTACCGCCTAGGATTTACAAACATTTCGGTCGGTGCTTGCAACTTATCCATAAAAAGGCTCCGCTTTTATGAGAGGGTTTAGTGCTTTTTTTTTTTTTGTTTATTTTATTGATTATTGAAATATAGAGCTTTCCCTTTCTATTCAGCTCTAGCAGGTCTTTTGAATACAAACATTAACCCCAAGGAAATAAGCCAGGAGACATGATTTTTCAAGGTTTAAATTTTTCTCTCTTTTGCTACCTTTCTTCTTCTGTATGATTCTACGCCTCCGGTATCTCTATGCTTGCTGTCGAGTTGCTATTTAGGCTGGATTGTATCTCTACGCGGTCTTTATTTTGAGTAGAATAGACAACTTTCTTCTCTCGAATTAGGCGCACTTGCTGCAAAAATCACCCGGGAATTTCTCCATCCCCTGCCGGGTGCTTTACTTCGATAATAATTTCGAGGTATCAGCGCATCTTCGTAATTGATTGCCAGAAATTGGCGACACATTGTATTTTTCCCTCACTCGGGAAATAAGTTTGCCCTCGCTACGCGTTGCAGCCTTCAACCTACAGGATAATCTCTGCTTGGTTGGATCCCATTCCTCACCCCTCCCGGCCGATATCCAAAACAAGCGTTCACTTGATAGTTGGAGCGGCTTGCGTTATTTCACGGTTCGGTTGAGATTTCCCCCTGGCTCGAGAATTTAGCTTGGGCATCCCTCCTCCGTGTTGGTTAGGTAAGCCTGAACGGTTGGAAAAAAAATCAGGTCATTCTTCTCCCCTCCGGTTCTTACTGACGGTTGAGGTGCTTCCGTTTGATGTGTGTGGGTTGGGAAGTTTTCCAGCGACGTTTGATTAGATGCCCAGCGGGTTGCCAGAGTCAACCCAGCGAAAACCAATCTATGCGCCCCCTACTCCCATCACGTGCTAGTTGAATAAGGCGCCCCTACGGCTACTTTCGTCCTCTTCCCCTTCCCGGGCGACTTGCCCTCCTGTACTAGGCAGCTTAGGGGCTTCGCTGATTTTTTGCGACTTCTTCTGGCTGACTGCTTTTTCCTGCTCGATTGCTCTCCTCCCGTCACTCTGCAGAAGGCTTACCGAGATTTCGTTCCCATCCCTCCATTCTTTGCATAGAAGCCATTTGTCTCTGAATTACTAACTACTCGCGCGCGGTCAGCTGAGGGTAGACTAGATACCGATTGGGCCCGGTGCTGATGAGCATACACACAAAATTTCTACTGAAGTCAGAATGCCTCTCGACGGGACGACACGATGCGACAAGTCCCGATCGTCGTTAGTAGAAGTGCGCGGGAGCACACACCGAAATCTTCCATATCACAAACCTTGTCAGCAAGACATCTCCACGACGCCGTACGAAATAGACTCGAGCAATCGACAATCGCAGGCCTAAGTTCTGCACGCGAGAGAGAAACTCTCTCTAGTCTTGTTCTACAACGGCGCGACGACCGGACTGAAAGTTCGTCGACGAGCAAAAGTTCTGGTATATGTCGGGAGCAGCCAAGTCCGACGGATAGGAGAGAATGTTCGTCCGTCGGGAGTGTCTACGCCCTAGAAAGACCGACGAATATGTTTCATCGACAGCAGAGGAGTTCTATACCGCCGGATGAGTAGGAGTTCCCGCTGTTTGAAGCAGAAGGTTCAGACGAACAGGTGAAGAGTTCCGACATCGGGTATGCAAGTGGCTCCCTGACGGAGCAAGAAGTCCGACGACAGGTGAGAGTCCGTGTCGGGTAGGGTAAGACCGACGATGTTTCACGACGAGCAGAAGTATCCCCGTTTGGGGACTGAGTAGGAGGTCCGGCTAACGAGCAGAAGTCCGACGTCAACCTGTAGAAGTTCCGCTGTAAACGAGCAAAGAAAGTCCGACGAAACCAGGAAGAAGTCCGTCTTGATGGATGGTAGAAGTCCGACGGAAAGGTATCATTCTAACGAGCAGAAAGCTTCTCGCGGAACGGGACGACAGTCAGGCAGTCCGCTTGGATGAGCAAATAGTCCGATCTAGACAGCTACGTCGAGAATTCCCTGATGGTCGGGGTGTATGAGAGTCGTGGCTTGACCGAGCAAGAAGTCCGACGACAGGGAGCAGGTCCGTCGTCGGGGTAGTAAGACCGACGAAAAGCTTCATCGACGAGGCAGAAGTCCGGTCGACGGAAGTAGGAGTCCGCTAACGAGCAGGACGGTCCACGTCAGCGTCAGACAGTTGCGACGAGCACAATATGTACCAGAATCTGACCAGGAGAAGATCCGTCGCTTTGCGGGATAATCGTAGACAGTTTCAACGGCGTGTAGTAGGACCGATGAAAGTTTTATTCTCAACGAGCAGTAAGCTATCGGGCTGACGAGTAGGAGTCGCTAACTGAGATGAAATAGAAAGATCCGACGTCGGGTAGAAGATCCGCTAACGGAGCCAGAATCCTGTGATGTCGAGTTCTGATACGAAGTTTAACCGGCTCGGGTGGGAAACCCGAAACGCCACCCGACGAGAATTCCCTCAACGAGAAAGAAGGGTGACTTTCAGTACGAGAGGATTCCGTGTGCAAGGAGCAATAAACTTGCCAGCACCCTAGGAGCTAAAACGGCAGGAACATTCAACAATCCGCGGTACAACTAAATGTCAAAATACTTTATTGAAGAAGTAAATGGAAGTCCTCTACTGGCCGATTCTTAAAATCATTCGCGACGTTAACCAAGAGTAATAGGACTCAGATATCCTAATTTTTTGTTAAGTGTTTAGTGTTGCATTTGCAATGATATGTTAAACATTTATTGTACTCACTAACATCCACCAGTGTCGATGTAAGACCTATCCAGGGTGCAATGTCCAGAAAGCCTTTGCTTTGAGACGTACCGTAGAGAACGGTCGGGATATCCGCCAAAGGATTGTAAAGACCTTCTGAGTTTTGTATTCGGAGCCCTTTCGAATCGATCGATGTTATTCAAACCTGTTGTGTGAAAGAGGTCCACGAAGATTACCCAAGGAATCTTAAAGACCCTTCCCGAAGGTTGCTATGTTCAGAGCCCTTTACTCCGACCCTGTACACGTTAGAGCCCTGAGTGTTTTGGAGTCAAAACAAAGTTCGTGAGAAATCTCACCAAGGAATGTAATAATATCCTTTTTTCTCTGATGATGGGGTTTGTATGTCGGATGACTTTGCTCAGATTAAGCAATGTGATGATACGTTGTGTGTGGTAGAATGAGGTTCAGATTTAGAAACTCCACCAAGGATGTAAGACCTTTCGAGGCTATTGGCTAATAATTAAGTCGTTGGAGCCTTGCTTGACGACGAGTCAACTGTGTAGTGAAAAGAAATGAATTAAGAGCCAATAGGAGAGATGCAACCAATCACACTCAACAAAATAGAAAAAGAAAAGAACTTTCTCCGCATGTTCTGGCCAAACTATTGTCGGAAGCACATTATACTTAAAATTTGCCTCCGACACCGGTAACTAGTGGGAAGAATGAGGTTATTTAGGAGATTATATAGGAATTAATTTATAATTCCTTTATTGAAAACATCTCAAAATTAAGAAAATTGCCAACCTTTAGGCTTGATGTTAAACAGTACCTTTCCCAAGTTGATGTCCACCGGCGGACCCGACCGAATACAGAATTATGAAGCTCCTAGTATGGTACGAAGAAAATAAAATGTGTTGATTGGAACGTGCAAAAATCACCCACGTTTATCAGTGATTATAAGAACTTATTAAAATTCAGTCTCGAGGAGAAAACTTCATCACCAAGGATGTGGCCTTTTCCTGAGGTTCAGCTTTATTTAGTAGCGTTGCCACCGTCCTTTTAGACTCGACGAGTTAACCTGTGTGAAGAGGAAGCCGAGGGAGAAATCCAACCAAGGATGTGAGACACTCTCCTCTTTGCGCGAGGTTGGTGTCGGAGCTTGCTCTCTCGGAAGACATAATAGAACCTGTGTGAGAGAGAAAAGAATGATCTAGGGAAGATCAGAATACACCAAGTTGATGAGACCTCCGAGGTTGTAAGTCGGAAGCTTTGCTGACCGACCTAACAATTAAAACCTGTGGGAGAAAAGATGATGCTCCGAAGAAATCCAATGCCAAGATGAGGTGGAAACCTTTCCTGGTCTTGTTTAATTGATACCGGCCATATTTTGTCGACGGCTTATCCATGTGTGGAAAGAGGCGAATCGAAATGACTTCCTCCTGGTTGATTTTGCTTGATTGAGATCGGGCGAAAACGCAAGAGCCTATATTCCCCGTAAATTCATATTATAAATTGTGTGCAAATGAAGCGTTCATAATCATTTGTTACCTTACTGCCTTTTGAAGTCGTTGGGTAAAAACTAATTTAGCACCCAATAGAATAAAGAAATAGTACCCAGTAAGGGACAGTGGTATAGAAAGAGCATTCAATTGATTTTGAAAGTATCCTTGCATTTTGGCTCACGATTTAGCAACTCCTAAATATCATCTTATTAGAATAGGGTCAATCAGAGGATCTTCTTGACCAGATAGTTGGAGCGTCAAAGTTGCAGCCCTTCCTCGATACCGCCATCATGAATCTGCAAAACAAGACTAATGTCAAAAGTTGATAATTGTGAATACGGACGTTTCTTGAAGAGTTTTTGGTGCCAAGTAAATTGTCTTGCCCCAGTAGATCACTTCCCACGTACGGAGAACACAAAAATAAGAAT